AGTGTTATGCTCCAAAGCCCTCAACTACTTTCTCACATCCACATATGACCTAAACCAAAAGTCAAACTCGGCCCTACCGATTCTTTCTATCCGGCGCCACCGAGTTCAGATGTCATAGCCACTGCCACAAACCCTAGGCAAATCGGTCTCACCGATAGGGATCTCGGTCTCACCGAGATGGGATTGTAATCTCTCTGTTTCCCTTCGTAACTTTTCGGTATCACCGAGATGAGTGATTGGTCCCACCGAGATTGCAATGTAAACTCACCGTTTCCTTTTCGTAACATTTCGGTCCCACTGAAATGAGCGAACCGGTCCCAGCGAGTTTACCTGACCAACTCTCTGGTTAACTTATTACCAAAATCAGTCCCACCGAGTTTGAGTAATCGGTCTCACCGAGATTATGTTATGCTCTAACCCTAATCATATCGGTCCTTCCGAGTTGCATGTCGGTCCCACCGAAAATCCTAACGGTCACTAGATTGCTGAATCGGTCCGACCGAGTTTCTCAATTCGGTCCCACCGAGTTTGGCAAGTTGTGTGTAACGGTTAGATTTTGTGTGGAGGCTATATATTCCCCTCCACCTCCTCTTCATTCGTGGAAAGAGCCATCAAAACAAACCTACACTTCTAACTTGCTGTTTCTGAGAGAGAACCACCTACTCATGTGTTGAGGCCAAGATATTCCATTCCTACCATATGAATCTTGATCTCTAGCCTTCCCCAAGTTGCTTTCCACTCAAATCTTTTTTCCACCAAATCCAAATCCCGTGAGAGAGTTGAGTGTTGGGGAGACTATCATTTGAAGCACAAGAGCAAGGAGTTCATCATCAACACACCATTTGTTACTTCTTGGAGAGTGGTGTCTCCTAGATTGGCTAGGTGTCACTTGGGAGCCTCTGACAAGATTGTGGAGTTGAACCAAGGAGTTTGTAAGGGCAAGGAGATCGCCTACTTTGTGAAGATCTACTGCTAGTGAGGCAAGTCCTTCGTGGGCGACGTCCATGGTGGGATAGACAAGGTTGCTTCTTCATGGACCCTTCGTGGGTGGAGCCCTCCATGGACTCGCGCAACCGTTACCCTTCGTGGGTTGAAATCTCCATCAACGTGGATGTACGATAGCACTACCTATCGGAACCACGACAAAAACATCCGTGTCTCCAATTGCGTTTGAATTCTCCAAACCCTTCCCTTTACATTCTTGCAAGTTGCATGCTTTATTTTCCGCTGCTCATATACTCTTTGCATGCTTGGTTGAATTGTGTTAAGATTGTTTGACTTGTGCTAAGATAGCTAAAATCTGCCAAAGATTAAAATTGGGAAAAAGATAAGTTTTTATTTGGTCAAGTAGTCTAATCACCCCCCTCTAGACATACTTTCGATCCTACAATTTCTTAAAGTTTCACTAATATTTTTTTTCAAAATCATGAACAGATTTAAATCCGTGAACATTTTTAATTTATAAATAATTTTTGAAAAATTGTGGAAATTGTTTTTAAAGTTCGCTTTTTTGAAGTTTAAATATTTTTTAAAATTTGTGAACATATCTAGATATCCAAAAAATATTAAAAATATTGTAGTTACTGGTTTAAATATTCGAAAGAATGACAACTGTTTTTTTCCTGAACTAGGATGCAAGACATGAAAAAAAATTCAAACGAGCCAATCGAGCGGACTAGCAATGAGTGAACAAGCTTTCATGGTTCGAGGCCCAGTGTGCGCTTTAGAGGTATTTTGGCGCCTTAAGCGCTAAATAAGGGAGCAACTAATACGAGGGTAACCCATGCGTGGTCACTCCACCGGCAAAATCATGAAAAAACATGGTATAAAACAATTTCTTTACAGGATGTGCTTCACATGTGAAAAAAGTATTCTTTTTAAAAGACTTAAAAAGTACCAAGCAAAATCCTTTTTTGAACACAAAAGCCAAGCAAATCCAAAAAGTCGGAAAACCTAGGATCCCCTCCCAAAAAAAGCATGCAGAAAAAGACAAAATGCTCCCATAGATGTGCCATGCGTGCGATATGTGTCGATGGCTGGACGCACCACACGACATCTCCCCATGTGCCCTGCGCCGTGCACTGGGTGGCCAATGCGGGGGTACCTACTAGCTAGTCAGTCCCTATTTAATATCATCTTGGAAATGTCGCTAAAATTTTCTTCGAGGGTAAAGCCAAGTTGATTGATCGAAAACCACGAAATGTGGGCTACAATCCAGGTCATGGGGTTGGCTAAACCACAAGTGGTGTCTCTGACCTAGAGTAAGCAAAAATTTAGCTAGACTATATGCTTCATAGTTCATAACATGATCTTCAAAAGTAAAAGCACAAATAGTCCGTCCCAATTTTACATTGTCTTAGAGATTTTGCTAAATAGTAGGGAGCAACTATCCAAGGGGTACCCCCTTGCGGGAGCCCCACAAGGGTCATTTTTGGTGGGCTGGAAGCGCACCAAGTGGCACGCTCTCAGCCGCTGCCATGTGTCACGTGCTGGGCACTCCCTAGGAATTTAGTTTTATTTTTTGTAGGTGTTTTCGAATTTTAGAGGTTTTCTTGGCTTTTCGGTTTCTGCACGGTTTCCCCAAGGTTTTTGACAAAAAAATTTGCATGGAAAAAACACATTTTTTTGCTTCAATGAGAGACACAGATTTGCTTCTCATGGAGACACAGATTTGCTTTCGCGAGAGGCATAGATGTGCCTGTCGACAAGGGAAAAAATGTGTTTTCTTTATTTTGTTTGCCTCCGGGAGAGGCACATTTTTGCTTTTCATGGAGGCACGGTTTGCTTCCAAGAGAGGCACCCTCTCGGAAAGAACAAAAATATGTTATTTTTGCTTCCGCGAGAGACACTGATTGTTTCTCGTGGAGGCATAAACCTTGTTTTCCGTGAGAGGCACAAATATGCCTCTTGGAAACAAAAAACTGAAAAAAAAAACTTGTTTCCACCTCTTTTTTTTCATGAAAGAAAGTTCGTGAGATCTAGTTTTGATGATCTTGACTTGAGAAATCCAACGATGAAAATGGTTCAAGATTTAGACCCACTATGTTAAAAGATAAAATGTTTTAAATAAACAAATCTAGAAAAACTCCCAGGTTGCAAAGGTGGGAGTGACTTGCCAGGGTACCTCTTTTAGACGTTAGAGTACTTATTATTTCATGGTGATCACCCTAGTATGTTTTATAAGAGTATCAACAATTTCTATAGATGGATCTTTTGTCCATCCCGCACAAACCTTAGTTAGTCTGATTAAATCATGGACATCATAATTAGTCTCTCTAGGAGCATGCTAAAAATAATATGTGAAATCACATGCATGGTGATATATATCATAAAAAATTACCGCCAAGACCATTGTCTCTATCATCTCGACGTTGCCGGAGTTCACCTCTATGCGATTATACCCGACTGTAGTTGCCACACTGAGACCAAACCGCAAGGCCAATCTCCGTTTCCCGCTGCGACGAATTTGCCGTTTGAGTCTCTGATGACAGCATCATACGAGCCCATGAGTAAGCCTGGGTCAAAAGCCCCACCCACCTCTACCTTCACATAATTGCTCCTTGATCTTTCCTAACCATCTCGCTTGATCGTCGTCTTTGCATCACCCGCCATAGTATAGTTAGCAAGCAAAGCTCTGATTGCCATTGCTATGAACTTAGGTTCCTGTAGCTTTTCATTATGCACTAACTTTCTCCTCCCCACCATAAATATCAGAAACCAATAGCAATTGCTTACGTTGAATTTTCCAGACCGAGGACCACATTCTTCAGCTGGTCGCAACAATAAATATTCTAGCACAACTTCTCCCTCATGGTCCACGACACATGCTTTATCAATAGCAAAGTCCAAACCCCGTAACTGTCATACGTATTTCGCCTTCCCACAAATGAATAACAGGTGCTTGGTATCCTCCGCTCCTATACCGCATCTAGGACATTGCTCATTGACTTTTATATGTCTGTTAGCCAAAGTCACCCGACATGGTAGCAAGCCTAACAAAGTTTGCCAGAGGAAAATTTTAATCTTGGTACAACAACTTAAGCTCCAGATCGTCCCTCATATTGGTGAATTCCGTGAGGAACCAACTGTATTTTCTCCTGATATTTTATGTCCATATTGGTTGTGCCACTACGCAAAATATCCCGATCTAAATGAGAATCTCCCGTTTTTGCACAAATTCCATGCTACGAAGTCTGACATATCAAATCCAAGGAACGAAATCGCAAGGATCTGCGCCACATCAAACTGCCAGAATGTTTGAGAAACCAACTCTTCATCCCAACGACCTGTAATAGGGTCAATAGAATCACTTACTTTTGATAGTAAATTGCCTCCACGAGCCGTGACCACTTTACTGGTAGGTGGGTTAGGAATCCGTTCATCATCCCAAATATTGATCCGACTACCATCACCGACCTTACATATATGACCTCTCTTTTTAATGTCGGCACCCCGACATAATAATTTGCCATGTGAACGAGGCTCTCTTTTTCAGAGTTGCATTCAAAATATCACAATCTGGATAATATTTGGTTTGAGAACACGAGCACAAAGGGAATCACGGATTATCAATTAATCTCCAAGACTGTTTCGCAAGTAGGGCTAGGTTAAAACAATGAATATCCCGAGATCCATTCCACCTTCTTTCTTTGGACACACAATTTTCACCATACAAACTAGTGCATTCTTCTCTGATTGTCACCGTTATCCCATCAATAATGCGACATCGTGTCTTTACAAATCTGTTTTGGAATTTTGAAAACCGACATACCTCAATTAAGTAGCACCTCATTGATGAAAGAATCCATGAAAGAATCGAGCAGGCTTTCAGCAGTACAGCCTGCTTCACTAGGTGATCCGATTCAGCCCAACTTGCCCCGACGCTTTGCCGAAGCAGGAAGTTTCACGGTCCAGCAGTCCCGCCCCAATTCCAAACCGAAGCGGCCGCGCCGGCGTCGCACGCCGCTCACATCGCGGCGTGCGCCGCATCTCTACTCTCCATGTCCCTTCCCCACCAACTCGCCGCCGGCGAACTCCTCACCGCCCTCCGCGGCGCCTCTTGCGCCTCCTCGGCCCTCCGATTGTACTCCCTCCTCCGCATCCGCCTCCCTCCCTCAGACCCCTCCTCCTTCGCCGGGCGCGCCGCCGCCTTCGCCCTCAAGCCCCTCTCCTCCGCCGGCTCCCTCCCTCTCCTCTCCCACTTCCACGCGCACCTCATCAGGTCCAACCTCCTCGCGTACCCCCAGGTCGCCTCATCCCTCCTGCGTTCCTATTCACTCCTCTCCCCCGCGGCCGCCCACCACCTGTTCGATCAAATACCCCCTGCCACCTGCAACCTGTTTGTTGTCAACGTAATGCTTTCGTCCCTGTGCCGTTCCTCTGACCTCGCCTCCGCACGCCTATTCTTTAACGACATCCCCGACAAGGACATCGTCTCTTGGTCGACCATGCTCGCTTGCTATTTCTCCAATAAGAGCGTAGCTGACGGCCTTGCCTTCTTCCGCACAATGACATTCACCACCACACTTGCTCCAGATTATGTAATGCTCGTCACCGTCCTCACAGGATGTGCGTCGGCTGGCTTGCTGCAGCCGTTCTGCAGATCCATTCACGGGTATATTGTGCGGCGCCAGGCAGTCAGTATGCACCTCGGGACATCGCTTATTGATTGCTATGCAAAGGTTGGCCGCCTCGATTATGCTTCCCGTGTCTTTGTGCGGGTGCCCTCTAGGAATGTGATGCACTGGACTGCAATGATTTGTGGGATGGCTATGCATCTGCATTATGACGAGGCTATCCAGCTGTTTGAGGAGATGCGCCGGCAAGGAGTGCGACCAAATGAGATGACATTCACTGCTGTGCTCAGTGTATGCGGGCATGCTGGACTGGTGGAGCAAGGGAGAGAGTTCTTTAAACTTATGGTTGAGGAATATGACCTTGAGCCAACTGTACATCACTACGGGTGCATGGTTGATATCTTTGCAAAGGCAGGTCAGTTGGAAGATGCTTATGATGTTATCAAGACCATGAGAGTGGAGCCAAATATCATCATCTGGACTTCGTTGCTAGCGGCTTGCAAGAGGCTTAAGAATTTTGACATTGCAATGGAGGTACTAGATGAAGTATTGGCAATGGAGATATCTGATGAAAATGGTGGATTATATACTCTTATATCTGACCTGTATGTCATGGCTGGGCGGTGGGATGATGTGTTGAAGGTTAGGAGATTGATGGAGGAACATAATGTGCGGAAGAACAGATGGTCGAGATCCGTTAGAGCGGGCAAACCACCTGGCTTGATTGATCCTGCAGTCAGTTGATCTTTCACATTGTTCAACATCTGCAAAGTCTTGGTTGAATTGTAGGACGATACTTTTTTTTGTTAGACTCACCACAGATGTATTCAGCGGATAGCTCCACATGTTGCTTGATGAAATCCAGCTGAGGCCTTGTGGGAATCAGCGGAATGAATACAAATTTCTGGTCTATTCTCCTGCAATATTGCATTGAGGTAAATCAGTGCAAATCATCGCTATTTGGATTTAGTCTCATTGGGGATTATGAGTTGAGATATTAGAAGAACCGAACTCATACAGGCGATTCACACGCATATGTGTTATGAGCAAACCGAGCTCATCGCTGGATATCCTCGTGGTCATGTACTGATTTCCGCTTTCATTGTGCCCATAGGACTGGAGATAACAGATAAAGATTTCTTTGAGTACATTGCCATTTCGGCCTTTCAGAGAGAACCGAATGCAGACTAACAATGGGGTGTCAGGTCAGCGGCCGAAAAAGCCATTTGATTCTATACTAGTTCTTGTCAGGCGGTCTGTTGCTAACAATGTGCAGCTCTAAGTGTTTCGAATAAATTCTACAACATCGGGTCCTGTCAACTTTGTTGATCATCTGTTCTTTTGCCCAACAGTATGGCAGGTGAAATCTTTGCAGTGCATACATACGGCGGTGCTGGTTCGTCCTGTCACAAACTCTTTTAAAGACTGTTGTATTCCAGTGAGAAACTGTGCTGTAATGTAAAAAGGCCTTCTATTCAAAAGATGATATTGCCGGGATCATGGAACTGATTTCTGTGAAAAAGAAGAGAATGTTTTGCCATTACCCGTACTTCTGATTGCCATTGCCTTGCTGTAGTATTTAATTCGCCTGCATATCGGTGATTAATTAGCTTTACGGGAAAGCGTCGTCTGAACCATTTGAATGTTTACCTCATACTAGTACACACATAGATATGGCTTGCACTATGGCGTGACGCCCTAGTCTTCCCCGCGGCCCAGCTGACGCGTGAGCGGGACAGTTGACAAGAGCCGACGGAAGACTTTCACGCCAAGTGACACTTTTAATCTTGATGTTACCAGGTGCCTGAAAGTTCCCAACATCACCAGAAGGATATACTGTACCACTGGCCGAAGTATCTTGGAGATCATCAGGGCAATTTGTACCGCCCCGCGCGATCCAAGAGCATATACCGTGCTTCCTGAGCTCTCTGAAAGTTCCGTGTCCGCTGTGCTCCACAGCTCTCGCTGTCAGCCAGACGTCGCCATAACGGTGGCCATTCGGCCCAAGCGACAGCGCGGCGGCCGCGGGCGCCCGACGCGGTCGGGTCTCGATCAGAGGCCTTGCGATTGATCGCGGACAAACAGACGAAAGCGCTTGGCTTGGCTGCCCCCGCCCGTTCCCTCCCCGCCGCGGCGTACGTACGTACAGGCGTGCCGCTATAGCTTCCTCCTCCGGCCCCGGTCGCTTTCGGGGACGATGCTGCTGTGCTGATATCCCAATGCCCCCGCCCTCTTCATTCTCGTCCCCACAGTGCTCGTGTATCGTTGGTGTGGCCGTAGCCCCCTTGGCCCCCTCCATCCCCCACCGCCATAGTACGTCGCCACTATAAGCTGCAGGCTTCGTCCGTGCAGTGCAGTTTGCGCGCGGCGTAGAGCGTATCACTCACTGTGCGTACGCGGGGACGGGGCGGTTCCATTCCAGGCAATGGGTTTCGCTCCTTCCCGGCGTGCTGGTGTCCTTCTAGTGCTTCTTGGCCTCTGCGCCGCGTGCTCGGCGCAGCTCCCGCCGCCGGCGCCACCGGCGATGCTGCACGAGAGCTTCGCGGGGAAGTCGGAGTTCAGGACGGTGAACCGGAGGCCGCTGGAGTCGTGCCGGAACCCGAGCCCGTACCTGTCCATCAATGTCAGCACCGCCGGGCCGCTGCCCGACGAGGCGTTCGTCAACGTCACCGTCGGCGGCGTGTTCAGGCCCCGCGGCTCGCACTGGGTCGCCATGATCACGCCTTCAAACTCCAGGTACGTACTACTGTACAACTTTAAACAAAAGATTAACATTCATCTCCTGTTTTCTTCTCGAAACTTAAATTGATGTGATGTTTTGGTTTATCCTCCTATACATATCTAAGCTTGGGCAAAAATGTGATTTGATTCGTTTTCCAGGACGTACGTAGTGTTCACAACATGTTTACTTTCGCCTCTCGATGGATATGCATGTGAATCATTTACTAACAATAGTGTACGTGCATGCTGCGGGCGCAGTGTTTCCGGGTGTCCACTGAGCGGCGTGAACTATTTGGAGACCGGCGACACGGCGAAACTCCCTCTCCTGTGCCACTACCCTGTCAAGGTGAGCCTTTTGCTTTGCCTTTTGCATGCACTACTTGCGAACTGACCGTTAGCTACCGCTTCGCCACAGTAGAATCTATCTAGTTGCCACAGGATCATACATGCTATCTTATGTTTTAGCGGCAACCATCAGTGCTCGATATGTAGCACCGCGTACGGAGTGCCGTCACGTGAACAACTCCTGTACATGCACCATTGCTCAGATTTCCCGCCTTCATTAAGAGGTTGTTATGTTTACACAAAGGCAGTGCTATGATTCGTTAACGGGTCCAGTCATGTCCGTTAGCCTCGCCGGAAATGGCCACCCATGAAGCATTCCAAGTTCTGAAGCGTGCTACGCCGGCTATATCCGTATGGGCGCACATGAACGCACGGCGTGTGCTGTTGCATGGATAAGAGCATGACATGAACCTCCTTTTCGGAAGAATTTTTTTTTTAAAGCGAATGTAGGCCTATTTTTTTTTTTTTTTGAGAGAGAAGCGAATGTAGGCCTATTAATTGTCAAGGCCTGCTTAGCGGGCTGTGATAGATACTTGACACGACGAGCCTGGATGCAGGCCCAGCGGGTGAAGAGCGACCCGGGCTACCTCGGGTGCAAGAAGGCGGCGTGCCAGAAGCGCGACGCGTCGGGCGGCTGCCAGGTCCGGACGTGCGGCGCCACGCTGACGTTCCACGTCATCAACTTCCGCACGGACGTGGAGTTCGTCTTCTTCGCCGGCGGGTTCCAGACGCCCTGCCTCCTCAAGCGCTCCGGCGTCCTCCGCTTCGCCAACCCGGCCAAGCCGCTCAGCGGCCACCTCTCCAGCACCGACTCCACCGCCACCTCGGTACGTAACCACCTCCACGACGAGCAGATGGAGATCATTTCTTTTGCCCTGGTTGATTTTCATCTGAGAACCTGATCGTGATTTTCCATGCATGGTGCTGGTTTGTGTTATCAGATGAAGATTACGTGGGTGAGCGGCGACGGGAGGCCGCAGCAGGTTCAGTACGCGGGGGGCAGGGCGGCTGCCTCCGTGGCCACGACGTTCACACACAAGGACATGTGCAGTGAGTGGTCGAATGCTCCTCGATCGCACCGAGCTCAGATTATATTGTACTTAGTAGAACAAAATTACTTAGTTGCCATGTTCTGCGCAGGTTTTTCGGTGTTGCCCAGTCCGGCCAAGGATTTCGGGTGGCATGATCCCGGCTACATCCATTCGGCCGTCATGACCGGCCTCCAGCCTTCTCAGTCCTACGACTACCGTTACGGAAGGTGAAGCTCATACCATCATTTATGGCTAAAAAGGAAGATAAAGCTGTGTCAGTTGACTGAGATGCAGCCTACATGAATCGTTGATGCGTTGGTATATATACATTGTCTGTGCAGTGATTCTGTGGGTTGGAGTGACACTACCAAGTTCAGAACCCCTCCCGCTGCGGGGTCAGACGAGACGTCCTTCGTGATCTATGGCGACATGGGGAAGGCTCCACTAGACCCGTCAGTGGAGCACTATATTCAGGTAGTAGGAGCGCCAAAATTGCCTCGGTGTAAAACCTTTCTATACGTGATGCACCCTTCGGATGTAAATTTCCATCTCATCACACCCATGGATATGCAGCCTGGATCGATCGCTGTGACCGGAGCGGTGGCCAAAGAGATGCAAACCGGGAAGGTCGACTCCATCTTCCACATAGGAGACATCAGCTACGCCACGGGGTTTCTGGTCGAGTGGGACTTCTTCCTTCACCTCATCAGGCCGCTCGCTTCTCAGGTCTCCTACATGACCGCCATTGGCAACCACGAGAGGTGATTGGTTTCTGAACGCAGAACGCTGACCTTGCACTCTTCGCCGCCAATTGATCTCGAGCTAACAATAGCTGATGAAGGAAATGTTATGTGTCCCTTTCCAGGGATTATGCAGGGTCTGGGTCTGTGTACGTGACCCCGGATTCGGGCGGCGAATGCGGCGTCGCCTACGAGTCCTACTTCCCCATGCCCACTGCTGGCAAGGACAAGCCGTGGTATGCCATCGAGCAAGGTAGCATCCACTTCATCGTCATGTCCACGGAGCATTCCTGGTCGGAGAAGTCGGAGCAAGTATGTTCTTTTTACCAGCAGACATCAGTCGCGCCTTCCTGTTTCAGACTTTGCAGCTGTTTGCATGCTGATGTTTCTGTGTAACTTCAATGCCTTGTGTGAATAGTACAACTGGATGGAAAAGGATTTGTCTTCGGTTGATCGATCCAGAACCCCATGGGTGATCTTCATTGGGTGAGCTTCTGAAGATCAAAACCAAATAGTTGTTCTGGTTCTTGCCTTGTTGACGTCCCTGCAACTGCAAGTAACACCTGGCATTTTGATGACCATTGCAGGCATAGACCAATGTACTCATCGAATGTGGGCATAATTCCCAGCGTGGACCCGGACTTTGTGGCCTCTGTGGAGCCACTCTTGCTCAACAACAAGGTAAGTAGAAGATCACACTGCAACGCATCATATTCAGCAGGCAAGAAGCTGTTTGCTTGACGTATTTTGGTAACAGGTGGATTTGGTTTTCTTCGGCCATGTGCACAACTACGAGAGGACCTGCGCAGTTTACAAGGGCAAGTGCAGAGGCATGCCGAGGAAGGATGCCAGTGGCATCGACACCTACGATAATAGCAACTACACTGCGCCAGTCCATGCCATCGTT